AAAATTGAGATTATTAATAAACTTTTAGATATAGTTTGTTAAGAAAATGTTAATGAGGAAGTTTAATTTAATACCGTTTAGGCATTAAATATAGTTTGTAATTAATATCATTTAATAAAAGATGGAAAATAAATAATAGAAAGTATTATTTAAGATAAAAATATAAATAAAGTATTAAATAGTGTTTTAAATTTTAGAAATGTTGTTAATTCTAGTATGTTTTTGAGTAATATTTTGCAAATTTTTTTTGATATTGATGTATTTAAATTTTTTTAATATTAAAAAATAAAAAAAAAATATAAATATAAATATAAAATTAATTAAAAAAAAAATATTTTTTAATAATATATAATAAAAATATTTAATATTATATATCTATATATATATTTATATATATATAAATATATTTATATATAATTATTATATATTTAAATTTGTTTAAAAATAAGGCCAGAAGACATTATGCTAGTGATGATAATTAATTTAAAGATCATGATGTCAATTTTTAAAATGCATTAATTTTATGTTATTAGAGTGTAAATAAAATGTCACTATTTTTACAAAATTATGATTGCTTTTAAAATAATTACTAAAATACAACTTTTAACTAACAAATTAAATGTTTTGGTAACAAAAGATTAAAAATTACAGAATTATTCTATTTTATAATAAATGCAATTTAAACTAATTACCCTTATTAAGATGAAATTTTTAATTTTTTTGAAATTCTATATGATTTTTATATCAAATTTGAATGGAATAATATTTTACATACTCAAGTTTAAAAAACTATTTGTTTAGCTATCTAAAACTAGAAACACGAGTTTTTAAAAAATGAAAAAATATTTAATTTTCTTTTAAAAGCTTCCCAAAACATAAACATTGAAATTACAAAAACAACCTAAAGAAAAGCTAATATAGGTCATTTGGTAATTATTGGAAATTTTATTTAAAAAACAGCTTTCCAAAATCCCGAAACTAATTCTTTCTTGGAAAAATGCGAATCATGGATTAAATTCAAAAATGATTTTTTTAATGAAGCAAATAGAATTTATAATACTGAACTTGTTAATATATCTGAAGATTACTCGTAGAGGCCTGTTAGTTTAAGTAATGTAATTTAAAGTATTTAAACTATTTCTAATTCATTTAAAGGATTATATACATTAAATGGGTAATACTTTTTTTTCTTGAATAATTAATATATATATATTTTTTTTTAGATAAAATAATAATAATGATTAAATTAATGAAGATTATAATATATTTAATCAAGGAAGTCCTCGAAATATAGAACCAAGTCCAAGAAATTGGAGTGGGACTTAAAAAAATAGCCAAATAAAAAAAACTGAATGGGGGGATATGGCTTAAGATAATAAATAAAGCGATTGGGATTAAAATAAAATTAAAATTTGTGAAAGTCCATTAAATATTTTTATATAAGAAAGTAATAATTAAAATAAATAAAAAAATTATTTAGATATATAAAACAATTTATCTGCTTTTAAATTGTAAACTTGTTTAGAATAAGAATAAGAGTAGGAGTAAGAATAATAATAACAATAAAAATAAGTATAACAGTAAGAATAACAGAAAGGATAAGAATAAAAATAGGAATAAGAGTAAGAGTAATAATAAGAAAAAGAATAAAAAAAAGAATAACATCAAGAATTACAGTAATAATAAGAATAAGAGTAAGATTAAAAATAAAAATAACAATAAATATATTAATAAGAATAAGGCAATTATTAATAAAAAGAATAAATATAAAATGAAGATAATAAAAAGAAAAGCGAAGGCTTATAAATTAATGATATACAAGAAAATTAATTTATTTAATAAGAATATAGCTAAAATTGAAATTTATTCTATATATAAATAATTTTATTTGCACTCTATTATATTTTATATTTGTTTTTTTTTACTACCACAATGCATATTAAATATTAAAATTTATGAAATTTAATTGTAAAAAAAAATATTGTTTAAAAAAATAAGATATGAAAAAAGAAAAAAAATATATAATTGTATATGTATATAAATAAAAATATATATAGATAAATAAATATAAATATAAAAATATTAATATATCATTATATTTAAAAAAAAAATATAAATAAATGTATATAATAAATATATAATTAAAAATATATTTATTTATATATATATTTATATTTATATTTATATTTATATTTATATTTATATTTATATTTATATGTTTATTTAAATATAATGATATATTAAAATTTTTATATTTATATTTTTTTATATTTTTAATATTTTTATCATTTTTTCTTTTTATTTATAGGTTCGAAATAATCATAATTGTCCATAGCATCAGAATTAACACTTTAATCATATCCTTAGGATTAAGAAATTCCTTAAACATCTTCACTAGAAGTAAACATATTATTTTTATTTTCTTTTTTGTTTTATTATAATTATTATATATATCTGAATCTTAGAAATCATCAAGTTCTTCATTTAAATAATAATCATATTCATTTTCTTTTTTATTAAATTTATCAAATCCACTACTTCCTGCAAATTTTTTTGTATTTTTTCCTGTATCGAAAGCTTAAGTAATATCGAAAGCATAAGTATCTTTAGATTATTTACTATCATTTATATTATTATTATTTTTTTTCGAAACAGGTACAACTTTTTCATCAATATCAAAAGCATATGGATCTTAAGATTATTTATTATTATTATTTTTATTAGAAGGTATAATTTCTTCATCAATATTAAATGCATATGGATCTTTATTAATACCAGAATAAATACTAGATCCGCCTATACCTCCTCCTCCAATATTTATACTATATTGATCTTTTTTTAAGGTTTATGAAAATTTATCAGGTTATCCAATTGCAGGAGTAGAAGGAATATTATACATATTTGCAATTGATTTGGTATTTCCTCCTCTAATTTTATTAACAGCGGTTTCTGGTATTTTTTTTCTTCTATTTAAGATGGAGCTGTTTCAGGTCTTTTTTTATTTATTTTTTTATTTTTTTCTTCTTCTTTAATTTTTTTTCTTTCGCTTTTTTTTTCTCTTCTTCTTCTTCTACTTCTTACTTTTTTATCCTTTCAGTTTCTTCCCTTTCGATTCTATCTAATTCATCTTCTATTTATTATTTACTTTTTTTCTTATTATTATTATTTTCTTAAAAACTACTAGTTGTATTTTTTTATTAATATTAATTATTATATGTTGCATTAGTAAATGTATCAATATCTAAATCTCTTTTAGGGGAATTTAAAGGTAAGCAACCTGTTTATGTAATATCTATATATTCACTGACTAAATTTAAAAGCAAAGCCTTACTTGAATCGGGAGTTTTTCTGAAATTTATTTCATATTCGAGATCTGATTTACGTATTTTTTCCTTTATACCGGTTTCTTTTTTGAATACATCTAATGTATATTCTAATTTGAAAAACTCTAAAAATTCATATATTAATTTTAAACATAAACTCCCATAATTTAAATTTTATAACATTTGTAATTAAGGATGTTCCCATTAAAATCCAGTTTTTTCTTTTAATCCAGAAACATCACTTTCTATTATCTTTAATTTTTTTTAATTTTTGTTATTTATTTAATTTTATTTTGTTGCAATTTTTATTACTTTATAAACTTACAATTTTAATTATGCGCGGATGTGATCTAAATATCCATCTTTTTATACTTTATTTAAAACTAAGCTTTTTAATTAGTCTAATGCTAACATTTTTTTTTCTTTTTTAAATAAAAAATTATTATAATAAAAAATAATTAAGACTAATGTTTGTAAAACTTTGAAATTAAAAGGCAGTTATATATATTTTAAATTATTATCTTTTTCAATATTTTTAAAATATAATATACAAGATATTTAAAATATTAAATATTATTTATATAAAATATATTTATATTGATTAAATAGAAATTTTTTGTATTTTAATTTTAAGAAAATTAAAATAGAGATTATTTTCTTTAAATATGTAAATATATATTAATATATATGTATATATTAAATTTATTATTTTATATTATTAAATTAATAATACATATATATTTATATAAATTAAAATTTTATATTAATTATATTTAATGAAGAAATTATTAAACTATAATATTTCTAATATTTAATTATGATAAAATATATATAAATTTATATAATAAAGTAATGCATGTATTAAATATTAATTTAATAAATTTTAAAAACAAAAATATAATATTAATCATACTTTTTTTCACATATACAATTATAAATATTCAAAATAATAAAAATGGTATATTATTTATTTTTTCTGTGTTTGTTTTTTAAAAAACTCTATCAAAAAAATAAAAAAGTTTATTTATATGCATTTTTTATATAAAAAAAATATTATATAAAATTATATATTAAATATTATTTAATTCTAATAAATTAATTTTTATAATAAAATTTAATCATTTATTTTTAGTCTTTTATTATTTTAAAGTTTATTAATATATAATAAACTTTTTTATTTTTACTTTGTCAAATATAAAATTTTATTAAATGTGTATTTTTTTAAGTATAATGGTTAATAAATAACAGCTAAATATATAAAAATAAAAATTCAATTATTATATAAATTATTAAATACATCAATATTAAAATTTAATAAATTAATATTAAATACTAAAAATAAATAATTAATGAAATAAAAATAATATACTTAAAATATAATAAAATAATATAAATATTTAATTATATATATTATTTAATAATATAAAGTTTAAAATAAAATAAAAATAAAATATTTTCTTATATATAAAATGTAATTAAATAGTATAATATTTCCTGCTCCTAAATGTTCATATACAAAAAATTCTCGAAGTTTAATATTTATCCCTAAAATCAATCAAACACTGGGCTTTTCCACAACTTGTTTCTAAGAAAAACCAAAATAAAATCAATCTAATTCACTTCCTTGTATATATTTGCCTTATTCCGAACCTACTAATAAAATTTTAATATATTTTCACGGAAATGCCGAAGATCTAGGTTATTCTTATGAATTTTTATCATTTCTTAGAAAAAACTTAAAATTAAATATAATTGCAGTAGAATATCCAGGTTATGGCCTCTATAATGGAGAAGCAAACTCTGAAAAAATATAATAAGATGCATTACTAGTCTACGATTTTGTCCATAAAATAATGAACGTTCCAAATAAAAATATTTTAGTTTTTGGAAGATCCATAGGTTCTGGACCAGCATGTTTCTTGGCTAGTTAAAGGATTATTGGATGTTTAATACTCATGTGTCCTTATACTTGTATTGGTGATGTTGTTAGGGATATTATAGGGCCTTTTGGGAAATTTTTAGTTTAAGATAGGTTTAGAAATATAGATTTTATATAAAAAGTTAGTTGTGATATACTGTTTATTCATGGTAAAGATGATAAACTTATTAATTTTAAACATTCTATTCAGTTAATGTAATCGTGTAAAGGGAATGCAAAAATGTATTTAGGGGAAAAAATGACTCACAATGAATTTTTATTATAGGAAGATGTCATTATCCCTATTTTAGAGTTTTTTTAAGATTTTAATATCTAAATTGAAAAAACTAATAATAATATTTCAGTTCCAAATCGGTTTTATTCTAAAAAAAATTGATTATTAAAAAAAAAAATTGCTTTTTATTTAAATTAATTGAACTTGTTTTTATTGATATTTTTTTAAAAAAAAAACAAAAAAACAAAAAGCAAATATTATTTTTAAATTAAATGATTATTTTTTTATTTTTTAATATATTTACAAATATAATAAAATAATTGCCTTAATTTATTGGTATCATTTCCAAAATTACTTTAAATCATCAATTATGTCTTAAGTTATTAATTTCTCTTCATTATATTTGACTTATTTTCTTATTTAAAACTATTCCTCTAAATTATTATTTCTATCTTAATTTTAATCATCTTAACTATCTTCTTCAGTATAATGCTTTAAATGATTTTTTGAATTTTTTTGCTCTTAAACATTATTATTATTTTCATAAGAATCCAATAAATATTTAAAAAGAATTTAAAAATTAACTTATTTTTTTTATTTTCCTTCTGAAATTTTTTCCATATTAAATTCATAATTTTCATCTAAAATAAAATCATTTTAAAAAACTTTGAAATCTTACAAAAAAAAAACGTGTTTTAAATCTTACAATTCTTCTTGCTTTTTTTCCCATTTTTTAATTTTCTCATCATTTATTTTTGCACTAAATAAACCAGGTTAAAATTCATCATTTTTATTTTCAAAAACTTAAGCCAAAACTCCTCCAAAATTATCATTTTGGACATAAAAAAATTTCTAAGGGGAAATAAAGGAAATATTGATACCCCTTATTTTGCATTTTTTATTCAATAAAATATTTGTGCTTAAAAAACCTTTCGATTTTTTCCTTGTTTTTTCACTAAAAAAATATCTCTCATTTTTTAATTCTCGGCCTAAAATAAAATCCTTTTTTTCTAAATTGTTCTAACAAGTTTCATTATTTTTCCAATCCAAAAATATCGAATCACCATTCTGATGTGGAGAAAAGCAAGAAATTATTTTTTTTTCGCTTTTTACTGCCTCCTCAAAGATATTCATTAAATATGGAGGGTTTTCGTCTGATCCATGTAAAAAGGAATAAACAGGAAAATTGCAACATCTAATATCAAAAAATTTAACCTATTAAGTATTTATAGTCATAAAATAATTATCTTATATATGTTTAATCCCATAAATATGGTTTTATTGTGTTTATTTATCATCTAATTAATAGACAATATTTGCTTTTTGGGCATTTCTATTATCCAATAATGCAATTTGGTCAATTCCTTAAAGGAAAATGCAATTTGGATGAAAAGAATTTTCAATAAAATCAATTTTTTTTTATTTAAAAAAATGTTAATTACTTTTTTCAATTATTTTTTAAGGTACTAAATCAGGAAATTTTTATAAAAACAATTAGTTATTCATAGCTAATGTATATATTTCTTCTTCGAAAAAATCACTATGTAAATTTTAATAAATTACTTGACTTTTACCTTCTTAGTCTTCAAAAAAAGAAATATTTAATGTCTTTAATTCTCTTTTATTTTATTTCATTTTTAATATTTGGGTATTATATATTGTTCGAATTTATGTATAAGATTTTTCATCTATTTTAATTTATATATATATGAAAATTTATATTTTTTTTTAATGTTTTTAATTATTCCATAACTTTTTATAAATTTATAATTATAAATATAAATATAGAAAAAATATAAATTATAAATAGAAAAAAATATATATGATATAAATATAATAAAAAAAATATATATTTGTATTATATATATATTTATATATTTATATATTTATTTATATATATATATATTTTTATTTTTACCTATTTTCAAATTTTATATACCTAATATTTTAGGACATTATTTAATTTTATTATATTCCAATTATTATTTTATTTTTATATCATATTTTTTATCTTTATCTATAATTAATTACAAAATTAAAGATTACAAACTATTTTGCATTTTATTTGGGTATATAAATTCATATTAGTATTCATTTTATTTCCTCAAAAATGAATTATTTGAATGTTTTTATTATAAAGGAAATGTATTATCACCTTCATCTATATGTTATTAAATTAAATTTAAGTCAAAATATGTGTCTTTGTATTATTATTATAAATAAAATAACTATTTTTAAAAAATAAATACCATAATTAAAAATATTAAAAAAAAAAATTATTTATTTTTACTTTATCTCTTCTAGGATTTTGTACTTGGTTTACCTATAAAATATTTGGAACTATAGGCTTTATTAATAATTAATATTTTCCTTAATTTATTTCGTTTAAAATTTAAAGATTTGAAGTCCAATTTTCAATATCTTTTTTAGTAGAAGCTTTAATTTTTTAAATATTATTGTAATTTTATTCATGAAAATCATCTGACTTTATTTATTGTAATTTTTCTTTTAATTATTATGCTTTTTCATATACTTTATTTTTTTACTTTATTTTATCTTTTTACATATTTTAAAAATATAGATTTATTTTTTTATTTAAATTAATATTTTTATTTACGAAAATTTAAAATATTTTTTTTTTTTTTATCAAATTAAAAACTAAATTTTATAATGTCTTAAAATACATTTAATTATTTTTTATTTTATATAAATACTACTAATGAATAAAAAATCTTCGATTTTTTACTATTTTTATCAAATAATTATTGGATTAATAAAAAAGATAAAAATATATATAAATAAGTAATTTATTTTTTATTTCAATATTCATTAAGAATCTTTTTAAAGACTTTATTGAATTCTTCTTAAATTCTATCTTACTAAGTTACAGATTTATATTTTTATAAAATATTTTAAGATTAAATATATTACTAACTTTCTGTTGAAAGTGAAATTAATTAATTGCTTCTATTTCTAATTCCATGTTATTTAATAATATCTTAAATAATATTTTAACAATATTTCGTATTTTAGTCAATAAATACCACAATTTATTAAAATTTAGAGTCCAAATTTTAAATTTAACTATTAAAGTAAGAATGAATTTCGTAAATATTTTCAACTTCGAAACACGGTTTTAAATTATCCAAAGGAACATCAAACGAAGAATCTTAAAAATTAGTTTATTTTTCTTTGTTTTCATCTTAATTAAAACTCCTATGCATAATGTCTTTTTTATATATACTTTCATAACACTAATAATCATCATTATTCATTTTAAATTCATAGGCTTCTTTGTAAACTTTCATTAATTTATTTATACATTTCATTATTTTAAAATTTGACATTATTTTTTTTTTTATTTAATGTTTTTTAGAAACTACATAAGAAGGATTATTATTATTTTAATTTACTAAGCTTTAAATTTTTTTAAATAATATATTTTTTATTGCTTTATTTTTGCCAATATTTGTCATTTATTTTAATAATATTACTTTTTTTATGAATAGTGAGTTCTTTTTGCCAACTATTTTTCTCTTTTCTTCAAAACTAAACGTAGAGGAATCTTATGAAAAACAATTATCAAATAATTCCTATTTAAAATTTAGATTTTCTTCTTATTCATTTTTTTTATATGAAATATTTTCTAATTAATTTATTTCTTAAATTTATATTTATTTTCCTTATTAATTTTTTTATTATTGTTATTTTATCTAATTATTTCCTTATTCTCTTATGTATTCTTTTAATTCTTTTAATTATTCATTATTTTATTATTCACTATTTTAATATTAATTATTATATTATATATTATTTTATTATTCTTTATTTTATTCATCACCTTAATAAATTTAATTTTATTAAGTGTCTTTAAAACAAGTTTTATTATTTTAAAAAAAATTTATTCTTAATTATTTAATTATTATTATATAAATTTTTATCTTTATTTACATATTCTATCATTTACGTAGGAGATAATACACAAGATGATTAATTATTTTCATATAAATGTTAACTTTAAAAATTGTATTTTGGGGAAATAATATTTCTTTATGGAATATTTTTACTTTAACTACTATTTAAATTTTCCTCTCGATTTTCGATTTAACTAATTTTTTTTTATTTTTCGTCTAAAATATTATCTCTGGAAAGAGAAGTTTAAGTAATATTATTATGTGTAATTTAAAAATTAAATTATTAAAATTATAAAGACTTTGATTTATTTTAATTATTTAAAGTAACAGGATTACCTTTATTAAAAAAATTGACATTTTTTCTTTTTTCTTTTTATTTTTTATCATTTCTTTTTACTTATACAATTTATTTTCTTTCTTATTGTATTTATTCATCTGCAAAAACATCACTATAATGAGTTTATTAATATTATTAATTATCATTAATTTACTATTATTATATATAATTAACATCAGAAAAAATCGATTGGTTAACAAATGCATTTTATTTAGTGTAATTTTTATTTATTATTTATTTTTAATAAAATTCATATTTTTTTACGAAATTTTACTTTTCCAATTTAAAAAATTTATATCTATAGTACGCAATCTACTTTATCCATAGATAATTTTCCTTTTAAATACAAAATAAATTCGTGAATTAATTTTTACTAATAAAAAGCACATAAACAGGTTTTTTACCTCCCGAAACGAATTAAAAATTACATTTTTTTTCTAATATACAGTGTTCTCCAAAAAAGCTTTTTTTATATATTTTTCTGAAATTTTTTTCTTTTTAATTAGTTTCTTCACCTTTAGATGCTTATAAATAAACTTTTCCTTTAATTATAAAATACAATCCTTTAGATTCATTTTTATTCTTTATTATTTAATATCCAGATAAAAAACTAACATTTTATTTAAAAAAAATATAAATAAAATATTATTTTTATATTTACACAAGTGGGTGCATATATCTAAAAATATCCAAAATAAGATTTTAATCGACAATATTTTTAAAAAAGTTTCCAAAAAAAAATGTATCTTCTTTAAAAAGCCACATAAAAAGTTATTATTTTAATTCTTTCGGTAAATTATTAAAAAAACCAGTATTATTAAAAAAATCCCAATAATCATATTAATTATTGAAAGAATTTATAACCATAATATTATGTAATAATTAAGATTAAATTGGAACATATTTATTTTTTTCCCTATCAAAAAGCCATTAATCAAATTTACGTTCTCGTTCTTTAACTTTCTACATTCCAGCCAATAAAGAAATCTAAATAGCCTATACTAGTCCTCCAGAAATATATCCGAACAATCCTATTCCAAAAAATTCACAAAAAACGTAAATATAACTTCTTCACTTGTACATGCTGTAATATCTCCATAACCTACTGTTGATATAGTTGTAACTACATAATGACATGATTCTATATAAAAGTTCTTATCAAATTTTCCGGGGATAAATGCATAATTATTTTTTTATTTAATCTTTAAATCCATGAGCTTTCAAATTACATTTAAGTAATAAATAATTTATTTGATTATTCATTTTGCCCAATATTTATCCATATACAAGACATTATATGGATAGAAATAATAATTTAAGTAAAAACTCTTTTATTTTTTCAAATATTAAATATTATAATTTAAAAAATAAAAAAAATATTATAAAATAAAAAAACTACTTTATTAAATAATATAATAACACTGAAAATTTATGATTTTAACCTGATTTTATCAAATAAAATGTTATTTTATTAATAAAATAAAGATAACGTTTCCATCTTCTTAAAAATAATAATAACTTGAAATAAGTTAAATATTATAATTGAAATTTATACCAAGGAACAATTCCAATAAAATCATATATAAAGCCTCCTTTTAAATATCTTTATATAATTACCTTTTTGTCTTTTATTTAACTTCCACCATCCATTATACCTGTAATACATATGATAACTATATCAATCCACATAATAATATCTAATATAATATCATAAAGTAAATAATGTTGCTTATCTATATTAAAAGCAACTCTCAAAGGATAAAAAGTGGGAATATATAAAATTAAAATTCCTGTAATAATATCCCATATTTTTTTTAATTTACTGTGAGGATGGATATATAATTAAAATTAAAAATCTATTAATAAATTAAATATTTATTATTTATTTAATAATTTTTTATTTTATAATTTACCCGTTTTTATAGAATTCAAAGAACCTTTCTAAGTAACAACCTTTTTAGTATATATTGCAAATTCAACACTAAAATAATATTTTTACTTATTATATCAATTAGTTTTTACTTTTCAGTAAATTTTGTTGGAAGAAATATATTTTATTTAACTTTAGTCCATTTTACTTTACCTCTTAATGAATTAATTTTTTGCTTTTTTGCGCTATTATTTACTATTTACTCCTCTTTTGTTGGAACAAATATTTTTTTGTTTTATATTAAGTCAATATTATCATTATTTTCTGTTGTCATTGTTAATATTTGTTTTGTTGCAAGCTAATTATTCTATATCATTTTACTTTTTTAGCTTTTATAAAATAATATATATATTAATTTGTTTTAATAAAATAATAAATATATATATATATTTATTTAAATTATATATTATTATTATTTAATTAAAAAAAATATATACGTAAAATTTCTATATATGTTTATGAAAAGCATTTATTTCAAATTTTATTTTATTTTTTATTATAAAAAATATTTTTTTTAAAAAAAAATAATTAATTGAAATATTTTTCTTTTATGATTAAATTTTTTAATTATTATTAATATAAATATATTTTAAAATAAGAATTTGTAAATTTTATAATAAATAACCTTTTTAAAAAAATATAAAATTACATAATAATATATAATTTTAATATAATATATAGAATATAAAATAAATAATAAAAAAATATATCATTCCCTCTTATTTACAATTTTAGCAGTCTAAGCTCTTTTTAAAGATTTTGTTTTAGATGAAATAACTGAAACATTTTCTTCTCCTCCCGCAAGTGACGGAACATAATTAAAATACCCTTTAAGTACACTTGGAGTCTACGATTTTTTCAAAGAAACTTAACTAGGAGATTATAATATATTATTACTCTATTTAATATTATTAGCTAAGAAGTTTTTTTTTTCTCTATCTTTTTAACTTTTGACTTCTATATAATTTCTATTAACAAAATTAATATTGCTTTCTGAAATAATAGGTGGTTTATATGTCGGTAAAACTCCTTTAAGTATGTATGACCTAAAATAATATATTTTTAATTTTTTTTTTTTTTTTTTTCAAAAATAAATAAATTTACCAATACATCTCATCAGTTTCAATAATTAGTTTACCTTATCTAACTTTTCCATATTCCAAAGGACTAAATTTAATCAAAAAATGAGTTCCTCCTTTCCCATAAGGTTCCAAAAGACCACTCATAGGTGAAACAGTGAATTCAAAATCAGAATCTTCAGTAAAGAAAGCTTTAAAAGTGGCAAAAGTTTTAAACCTATTTGTAAGTTTAAATGATGCTTAATCTAATTTTCCTACTACTGCACTTAATATTATTACATCGTCTTCGTTTGGAGGACTGGCTTCGAGATGTATTTTAAACTTCCAAAAGCCTCCAGACAATCTTTTAATAATAAAATCGACTAAACATTTAAAAGGTTTCATTGGTTTGAAGGCTACGGAAAATTACAAATACTCATCTAAAGATTAGAGTGTATCTTTAGTCATTGTTATCCTTAAAGATTTATCTATTATTTTTTTCATTTCTTCAGGTATATTCTATAATTCGTATTTGAAAGTTTCATTATTATCCTATAAATTATTCAAACCGGGCAGATGAACTGAGAATTCTTAATTTATTTACACTCGTGCTTTTGTTTTGAAAGTCTCTAAAATTCCAGTACTGAAAGATTCTGTTACTGCTCGAATGGGAAATCGCCATTTAATTTTTTCGTTCATCGAAACTACCACATCGCATTCATAACATCGAATTTCTTTAGGCTGGAAAGTGAACGGGATTTAATATATAGTTTATGAAGGTATAGTTATATATGCTTCTTTACCTTTTTTTACTAATTTTAACACTTCTAGCACTTTTTTGTCTCTTGTATCTAAAAATATTCTTACCTAATATAATATTTATTTATATTTATAAATATTTTTTTTATTATTAATAAATTACTTATATAGTATCTTTAAATGGATTTTTAAAATTCAAGAAACTGGAATAATCTTTATTTAAACCAGAAATAATATTAGTACATTCAAAATTAGTAGGAGGAAGTCCTTATCCATGTAAAGAATAAACCCATTTCCCAATAGTAGCTGTATTGAAAGTAATTTCACAAGTCTATGGCTTATCTAACATATTTGGTCTATAAATAATATTCACTTAACATTAATCATAAGCCGGAATTACAATATTTTCGGGATACACTTCATAATTAGAAGGATTAGAGATTTTCACTTAAATCGGAACATCTTCGTTTGAAGGATTTTCCAAAGTAATTTCATGTTATTCAGTTTTTCCCAATTCCGCCTTAAGTACCGGCAACCTAATAATATCTGAATCTTCTGCAATTAAATTTAATTCATACCAAATTTCACCTAATTTTTTGCTTACAAAAGCCACTGACCCTTTTTATTTCTAAACTTTCAACGGCATAAAGAACAATTCATATTTATACTTTTAATTAGGTTTTATAGAAAAATACAATTCTCCCTAAAGCCCATCACCTTCCATTAAAACTTCAAAATTAGCAATCTCATCTGCAGGATTATATAAATCAATGTCAAAAGCGACTGGTTTTCTCAAGCAAGTGACTAAATCAATAACCTTATCAGCATTCGGACTCTGAGTATTTAAAAGTACTGTCCACCAAATATATGTACCATCCGGTTTTGTAAAAGTAACTGATCCGGTATATTAACCACTCATCACAGGGTGTATTTTTAACAAATAAATGGCCTTTCTTTTCCCTTAAACACTAATCTAAGGCTCCCCAACGGCGCCAATTAAATCCGTAGTAACATTATAGGTAATAGCTTATTCATTATTTGAATTATCTATAACTATTTCTTTCTAAACAGTCTATCGGGCTAAAGAAGTGACAACAAAATGGTCTATAGCAAGTGGTTCTTCAGCTATTCCTTTTAAATCGTATTCGAACTAATCACATGTAAGTGGATTTTAGATTATGAGTTTAGCTTCGGAGGTACAAATCCATTCTGGGAAAAAACAAATTGGAATATTCCCAGTGGTTTTTTTTTTAATAACAAATTCTCGGAAGGAATTAGGTCTATCTTAGTGCGTATTTTTTGGCGGAAAATTTACAAAGAAATATTTGAAAGGAGTATCTTGTATATTATAGGTTAATTGGATTTTCATTTACCAGTCTTTCTCTGTGTTGTTTATTATGGGAATTTCCTACATTATACATTCTCTTGCAGGCGCAGTCATTTCAAGTAGAGCTTTAACAGGTTTAGGGAGGGCTGTCGTTACTAATTTGAACTTCCTAACGTCGGTTTTTTGAATGTTTTTGATAGTAATATATGCTATGTAGTCTTTGAATGGATTCTTAAATTAAAAGTTGAAGGGGAGTACATTAGTTTCTAATTCTATTTAACCTTAAGTAGATGTGGAAGGCGGTTATTTGGAATTTAAGGAATGATTTTGACAGGAAGATTATACATCATTAGATTGTTATTTATCGGAACTTATTGTATTGACGTACTTTTTTATTTACTCCGTTATTATTGACTAAAATTTTTTAGTTTCTTAAGTATTATTGTTATTTATTTATTTCGGATTTTTTAATCGAATTGTTTTTGGAAGTTAAATTGCGTTTTAAACTGGCTGTTCAATCTAAACTTCGAATTCGACAATTTTTGGAGAAAGCTTTTAGAAAATCTATTTTATAGTAATTTATTATTATTAACTTTATGAAAGTAATTAATTTTTGGAAAACTTAGAATTATTTTTTTCAACAAGCCATTATTCTAGAGATTTTTTAGCATTTTTAAATCCATTATTTTTAAACGTAAGATTTAAATTCCATATTTTAGGAGTATCTACGTAAATTTGAATTGGCTTTTCGGGAATCTCTATCACTTCTTCAGGCATTTCTACTTTCCCGCGGATTTCATGTTAGAATTCACCCACTTTAGGGTCATTGAATACTATATAGCATTTCTAAGTTTCAAATATTAACGGTATGAAGGCCATTTAGAGATTAAAACGGGCATTTCGTTTAAGTTTTATTCTCTCAACACGGCAAAAAAATTAAGGGAAGTTTACTTTTTCTACTTCTATAGGGGGTTCTTCTTCTTTTTTTTTCTTTTGATTTTGTATTATTGAAAACGGTTTTTTTTTTGTTTCTTTAATATCTTCGACTTTTTGTTCGTCAGATTTTTTTAATTCGTATTCATGAATTATTTATATCTTTTTTTATTATATTTTATTTTTTATATGTTTTTTATTACTTGAAAATCACCATATTCACAATTTTAGAATTTATTATGAATTTGTATAGAAAATTCCTTACATTCATATAAAGGAGTATCTACATTCCAAATTTATTCACTAATTCTTCCTGTAATTTAACTTTTTAAATCAAAAACAATAGCAGAAGCAATAGAAGTACTTTCTTTTTTATTCGTAAAAGCAATACGAGCAGTTTATACATTAGAAACTCTTGAATAAAATTTAACTCTATATTTAAAAGTACCTTTACTTTCTATTCTAAAATTATCTTCTGAATCTAATTTAAAATCTTCACTTCCTTCTAAACTAACCCAATAACTAATAGGTTTTAAAGTAGGATTATTAATTTCTATAATTTTAGCAATCTAATTTATTATATAATTGTATAAATAAATAGATAAGTATTAGATTTTAAAAAGTTTTTTTATTTTTTAAATAATATTATTTTTAATTATTAAATAATATGTATAAAAAAAAAAATTAAATATAAATTTTATAGATAAATAAAATAAATTAAAAAATAAAATAATTTAAAATAATTTAAAAAAATTAAATATAAATATATAAATAATTTAAAATAAATATATATATATTTATATATTTATATATTTATATATTTATATATTTATATATTATTATTTTTACCTCTTCTCCTAATACACAAGAAAATATTATAGGTTATTATTTTGGTATATAATATGGTAATGTTTAACTAAGTTAGATAATAAAAAGTAGAATTTCTCTAGCAGAAGGAATAGCAAGTTCCACTGCATTAAATTATGTTGAAAGTTTAATATCTTAAAGAATATTCTATAACTTTTCGCAATTATGTAAGAAATCTTCATCATTTGCACAATTATTTTTTATT